TGCAGTGTCAAGGGACAGAGAAAAGTGCATCTCTTTCTTCATTCCAAGAGTGGAAAATTAACCCTTTCACTTTCTTGTCAGGCAAAGTGCACTCCCACCTAATCACAGCAATCCACAGACCTCCTAGTGCATTTGCTTTACTTCAGACAACGCTGCAATTGAGTGAAGGCTTTGAACAGCTTTAATGTCTTTAATTTACCAAGGTGATCAGAAAGCAGGTTGTGTATTGTTCAACAATTCCAGATATGACTAAGTACAATAATTATGTGTTTTGGTGCTGTAAATGTGTTCTAGTTACTCAGTTGAAACCACCAGAGCAACTAGTGAGGAGCTGTGTAAATGCATTTCTTGCTCTGTAGTCTCTATGCTGCAGGTCATGTGAGGAAGTTAGCTGAAATCCAGCATATCAGTGAGGAAACTCAGGTGTTGCACAGATTTTCTGTATCTTGGATAAACCATTTAGTCTTACTGTCCCCAGTTTCTTCTCATGTTGCTTGCCAATTTGTAAAATACACTGGAAGTAGTGAAGTGCTTTGATCTATTTATTTAGATGGAATGATTTGGAGCAGAGATCACTTTTTACTGTGTATCCTGGAAGCACATTTGAAACCCCTTTCTCTATCCTCCAGATAAGCACTCACAATATGATATTCCAAGAGGATGGCATTACAGCAGGTAACACTGCACATCATTAAATAAAAGATGGCAGCCTTCCATATGTCACCTTGCTAGAGGTAATCTAATTAGATTAGAATTCAGTGTGGATATTCAGGTTACACAGCACATCCATGGCCCAGATTGCATAACCCAGTCTCTCATGTTGCCAGAAGAAAACGAGCCAAGCAGTTAACAGCACGGCGGTTGTTAGACTTTGTTGCCCAAAACCGAACTCTTAGGGAAATTAAGAAGACATGAATTTCACAAATGACTTGTACTTATTTATATTATTAACCATCATCATAATCTTCCAAAGAAGAAAAATATAATTCGGGAATAACTCACCAGAAGGATACAAAGGGATCTTAACAGTAAAGAAGAGGCTTGTTAGATTTCAGAAAACAGAAAGAAACCTTAAGTTATCTGAATGCAGTCTTTAATTATTTATGTTTTTAATGAAAAATAATTTTAAAAGCCAACATGAGCTGTCTCACGCAAATTGATTTCTTAAACCATTTAAAATCATTTGGACGCATCACTTCTGTCTGTGTTGTTTCTTCCTTTTATTCCCACAGCACTTTCCCCTCTGCCTGTGCAGATCAGAGTAGCTGCCTTCTGCAGAACAGCAATCTCATTTTGTTTACCTTGTTTTTCAAAGAGAATTGAACAAGCCCAGGATTCGCTTTCTCTAAACAAATACTGGCAAGACAAAGGTATCACAGCTATTCTAGGGACAAGAGGTTTGTTGCGATGGAGAACGGTAACGACTGTCAAGAAAAAAAAGTCAATGTGTTTTTATCTGAAAAAAAGTTAATCCTTTTCACAGCCTCATTTTCTTTGCTTTTGAGATAGCTCTCCTTTTTCATTTAAGTTTTAGAGTTTTTCAGCTAAAGGAAGCAAGAAACCGAGGTATTTTCTTTGTTCCTGTCAAGTAGCTTGAACAGTTTGAGAACAGAACCAGTCAGAGCAGTGTGATTAGCGTAGCCAATTAGGGTGGATTTGCATATTCACAACACAGCTATCAAGAAATAATTCTGCAGAGATAACACAAGTGTGGCAATGCCTGTCTGCCAATCAGAGCACCCTGGCTCCCATGCTATATGGTAATTGAGAAATAACCATAGGGTGATTCTGCAGATTGGGCACCCCAAGCCTATCCATGTGCTGGCACTACGCAGCTGGGGAAGAAAGTGCATTTGTAAGGTGGTAGCAATATGATACCCCTGCACACTGGAAAAGGTTAATCTACAACCCATTTACCTAAAATGCAACAGCATCTGTCAAATGAGTTCATTCTTCAGAGACTCATTCCAGCTACAACTTGTGCTAACTGCCACTTTTGGGGGCCCAACCTCATCAGGAGTTTGGGGGACTTAGCTTTTAATGAGATGGCACTTGGCCAAGGACTGAGTGCCTTGCAGCCCCTCCTGCCCTTCAGCTCAGCCAGTAGTCCACGGGCATGACAGGGTCCTAGATGGTGCACTACACAAAGTGCAGAAGGTGAGCTTTGCACAATGGCCTAAAGGATGGATGATAAAGCTCTGCTTTCTTCTGCCCCAAAAGGCCTTTCAACAGGGTGTTATCCAAGGACTGGGCAAGAAAGCAAACAGCCCTTCAGGAAGTCTTATAGACTCTGTTGGATAACAAACTGGGGCAGATGATCACAGCAGCTTTATTATCTCTGAAAGTGAAAAATCACCTTATATACTAGTGACAACAATCCATGCTCCATCTCAGTGTTTCTCTGGCTCCCACCACTTGTCATCTCCTACCTAAAACTGCCCTGCTGCAAGCATTCAGGTGAACACGACTGTGGCCGAGTGAGTGGCGCAGAGAGCCAGCTGCCACCCTGTGCCATGTAATCTGCATCTTCAGGATGCTCTATTTTCTTACCATGGGGCTGACAAGTGATTGGCTGCAGTGTGCAGCATCCATGTGTGCTGATTTTAGAAAGAAATATGGTGATCTCTATCCTTAATGCTCTTGACTCCTCTTTGGTGCTGGGGGCTGAAGTCGTGCTGTGCAATCGCAACAAATTGGGTCAGGAGGGACTCCCTGGAGCGTTCTCCCAGGTACAGCTACACAGGCCACGTTCACTTTCAAAACTGCTACGGGAAAGGCAACAACACAGAAATTAACTTGTGGTACTCACTGCTACAAGATATTGAAGAAAACTTAACAAAATCCCTAAAATTAGACCATTACACAAATCATAAATTTATAAACTGGTATCGTACCCACCAGGGTAAAAAGCTCTCAACCTTCATGCCACAAAGAGGCATTAAGCACATTTAGTTGGGGAAAAATGTCTCCCTCCAGGAAGATATACTTTTTTTATAATCATCCATGATAGGGAATTTATACCTATCTCTGCAATACTTACTGCTGGTTTATCTAGTCCACTAACCTATGTAAGATTTTTTTTTTTAATGGTCTCAGTCTATGAGTATCCACAATTGTCTCTTTCCTTCCTATCCCCTTTGTGGCACAAGTTCTTTATTAGAAAGTTAATAAACTTTGTGTATGTTCTAAAGATAATATTGAAAACTGCAAAATTGTGTTCTGCATTTTATAATTGGTGTGGAAAAAAGGTGGAGATCTAATCCTATTGGGCCTTCTCTCTCTTTTGCTCTCTCTCTCCCTTTTTCCCTTTTGATGGTAAGCAGCAAATTTTAATTAGCTTCATTTCCACAATTCAGTCATGCATATGTAATCTTTGTTCACACTTTTATAAAGTAAAATTAAGTGAAAGAAATTGGGTAATAATAGAAAGCTTGTCTGAGCAGAACAAATGTGAATTATCAAACATAAGGAAAGATGACTGGGACTACAGGGCTTGAAGTTGTGCAAGGTTTGAGGTGATTTTTCTGAAACAGGAATGCATAAATAATGCATAGAAACAGGTGCTGATTATCCTGTTTTGGGCATCTTTTGTTCATTATATACTTGGGCTGCTGAGGTACAGTGATAACCACTGAATGTGAGGAGACTGCTTAATAACAGCTTTCTAATGTTTCTCTTTTATCATGAGCAGAAAGTGTCACATGAACTTGTCTAGTTAATAAAAATCACTTTGTGAACCCACTGTTCTTAGATTTGGTATTGGAGCAGATCACTGTACTGGGCCTCTCTTGATTATAGCTGCAAAAGCTATTCTGCCGTTTTGCATTGTAATTTAAAGGTTTCCTAATCCATATACACACCCTCTAATTAAATGGTTCCAGGGGTTACCTTGGGAGCCTTCAGTGCTATGGTTTGAAACTAAAACTAAAGAATACATTAAATTCATTCCCCCCGGGGTGAGGCACAGGAGAGGGAAGTACATTTTCATCCCTTGCTATTCTGGATTATTTGAAAGCATGAGCATGATCGGGATTACTAACTTCATTATTTTTGTTATCTAACATGAGAAGATGGAAATTTAAAGGGAGACTATCGATGTGTCTATATCTAGAGTTCAGCTCATTTTATAACTTCTGAGAAGAGTCTTTAGAGTCTAAACAGTTATTTTAAGCTACCAGTTCAGCAGCAGCAACTAAAAACCAGAACCTCCTCTTGATGTAAATCAGTCTGTGGCTACACAAGCTGCGTAACAAACACTGCTGCGGCAGATGCCGAGTTCTTCATTAAAGGAAATGTAAAGCAGTGAAGCATTAGCGCATATAGAAGTAAGGTCTGAAGCCCAGTTAATGTTAAACTCATGAGCAGATACTTTCTTTTCAGTACCTCTTCACACATTCAGCCTAACCCCACCAACCTAAGAGCTTTAGAAGAAACACCTCTTTTTGTACCTGAGAAGGAGCTCCTATTACAGGAAGTGAATTTCAGTCATGGGTGACTTGCCTTTTTTTTTTTTTTTCCTAAACCTGCTTTGCTGCCAATGACGAGGGATAGCCAAGATTTAGATTAATGGTTAACAGAGCAAGTATAACCACACAGAAACTCTGACTTCCTCCTGCTGGGGCTGGGACCAAAAGCTGCCCTTGCTTGCAGAGGAAGAGGCAAGCGTTGAAAGGAGAGCAGTTCACACCACAAAGGGCTGGAGAGCAGCAGCTTCACTCAGTAGAGAAAGGAGGAGTAAAATCCAAAAGGAGCAAGAAGTGTTTGCCATAAAGATAGGTAAGAGCTGAAACACTTTACCGCTCGGCTTATTGACTCAGTGGCTGTTGCTAACAAAACCCACAGGTGTGGCTAGTTGAGACACGTTTGTTGTACCCAGCTGCTCTGACCTGTGCGTCTCTGAGAGGGGCAAAGCGAGAAAGGATCTATTTGCTGTGAATTTGAATGTCAGAGAGGGCAGGAAGGCTCTTCCTCCCTCCTCCTCCTCCCCCCAGGCGCTGCTCATGGCAGGACAGACACCTCCTTCAGACTGTTATCATCTCATTGACCACAGCCACATCCCTGAGTTTGAGGTGTCTCCTTGGATCAAGATCACTTTGGCCTCAGCGTATGTCTGCATCTTTGTTGCGGGCATCTTGGGCAACAGCATCACCATCAAGGCCACCAGGATCCTGCAAAAGAAAGGCTACCTGCAGAAGGAGGTCACAGACCACATGGTGAGCCTGGCCTGCTCTGACCTGCTGGTCATCCTGCTGGGCATGCCTACGGAGTTCTTCAGTGCCATCTGGAGCCCCTTTTCAACCCCCAGCGGCAACATTGCTTGCAAGCTCTACTACTTCCTCTTTGAAGCCTGCAGTTATGCCACTGTGCTGCATGTCGCCACCCTCAGCTTTGAGAGGTACGTGGCCATCTGCCACCCCTTCAAGTTCAAGGCTGTCTCTGGGCCCCGCACGGTGAAGCTGCTCATCGCCTTTGTCTGGGGGACATCTGTCATAGTGGCTCTGCCCCTGCTCTTTGCCATGGGCACAGAATATCCCCTGGAAACCATCGAGGGATACCAAGGTATGACTGCCTGCGTCAAGCCTACATCCAGGCACTACCTTCCTGAGCTGAAGCACAATATGACCATCTGTACCAGCCTCTCCTCCAAGTGGTCTGTCTTTCAGGCCAGCATCTTCAGCGCCTTTGCTGTGTATATCATAGTGCTGGGATCTGTCACCTTCATGTGCCGCAGCATGATGAAAACCCTGATGATCCACAAGGAAGGAACTGTGGCAGTGAAGGGTGGACTAAGACACCAGGAGCAGTACCTAAGAAAAAGTGAGAGCTCAGAGGGCAAGAGCTCCAGGAGACAGATCATTTTATTCCTGGGTAAGAGCCCTGTCCTCTGCCTCCCCGCCCCTGCCCCACTCTGCCTCCGCTCCCCTGCCCCCTTTCCACATGGGAAGGAAACCCAGAAGCCTCCATTTTATCTCACCAAATTCCACCAAATGGGGGATGTATGGTTTGAAACTGGTGCAAAATAAGGAAGAGGGATACTTTTGGTTGCGATGACGTATTTTAAGAAACCTGATTTCCCTGCATGTTTTTGACTCACTCTTTTTGTCATTAGAACAGGTGGGAGGGAAGAAGAAGGGTTGTTTGATTATACTGCATGCCAACATGCAGCAATATGGGTAACAGGGTGTTGCTGCTTGACCTTTGGGGTAGCAATAGGCAACAGTTGCCTGGATATAAAGTAGCTCCACTTGTGCGTTTTCCCATTAAATTACAAATATGTGCATATTTAGTAAGGCTCTTGATGGGAGGGAAGACTGTCTTGCAAGATCTGAAGCTTGTCCCACTCCAAAGGCACATCCCAGTTAATTCAGGATACTTCCTGGAGGGTACTTAGCCTCAGCAGTTGTGGCTGTGTTGCATCTGAGCATAAGGAAAGCTGGGCTGGAGAGTTGATTTGGTCTTGCAAATTGCTGTTGCCTTCTGATTTTTTTTTCCTGGTTTTATTTGAAGACCTATAACCTTGGAATTATGTTTGATTCTGATCTCTCTCGCCACATGTGTCAGACAAAAACTAATCAAGCTGTCATTTTACCAACTTAGAATCTTTCCGAGCTGTGATCCATGTAGTCTCCACATTTGTTGATGCTCTTAGAGGCACCCTTAATCATGCTGTGGCTGCATTACTGCTTGTTCTTGTTTTGCTGGGTTGCTTAATATCATACTGGATACAGTGAACCATCTATAGTATGAATGCACAGTAGACCTAGTATTTCTATGTTGCTTTTTGCTGCTCTGCTTGATGTTGCAGAGGGGGAACTGAAACTCGTGGGTCTGTCCACTTCTACAGCTTTAAGTAGATTAGCTTTTTAATGACTTTTTTTATAAGCATTCTCTGCTTCCTTATCTAGTCCTGCTTTTGCCATGGTTTGTGGCTGGGTTGTGAAGCTGCAGGGTAAGGAGCCCAGGGTGCACCCAGCTCCTTTCCTGTTGCACCTGTGTTATAGTTGGGAACATGGTGAAAACCTGTTATACAGACAAGGCATATGACTTTAAGGTTTGGGGAAAGGGTAGAGCTGCATGCTGTACCAGCAGAGAGGGTGACAAAAGCTTCAAATGGGAGATGTGACACTCCAGGCTATATAGAGCTCTTCCTCATGGTCAGAGTGCACATCTAATGAAGAAATCATCTCCTCACACGATCCGTCTGTTAGTCTGGGATGAGAAGCCCCATATCTGGGTGATTAAAAGGGCTCTTGGTATCCTTACTCCACTGAAAGTACTGATTTCAGGGGTAGAGGCTTAGCAGCTAATATTAAATACAGCATGTTGCACAAAGCAGAAAAAGAGGTAAGGCTCTGCTCTTTAAGTTAAGTGCTGCTGTGGGATCCTTAAGTGTCTGTGGATCTCTCTCCCCTTGTAAATTATCATCCACGGTTACATTAAAACCCAGTCTAAGATCCAAATGCTGTAGCAAGTTCCAGCTAGGTTGAGAGGTGAAGGTAAATTGTTGTGGCTTTTCTTCCCCTTCTTGATTATTGTTCTTGGTTGGTGATGGTCTAGCATGGAATAGGGCAGACCTAGTGCTGCTTGCAGAAGTGTTAAAAAGCTAAATGAAAGCGATTGGCTTGTCCTTTATCTTAAGGGAATTTGCTGCCAATATCTGACACTCCCTGTGTTCTCAGCTTTCTGGAGCCAGTAGATACTTCCATGAATTCCCCAAAATTATTTCAGTGGCAAGACTTTTAATACAAGTCTTGCTAATTTACTTGGGTTGGGAAATAAATTAATAAACTGAGGAGGAAGAAACTGTGGCCTGCATCCCTGAGAACAATGCAAAGCAATTTAATTTGGAGATTTCATAAGAGTGATGCTCTAGGGCAGTTTTAACCCAGAAGAAATGAACATATAAATTGTTTACAAATCGCTGAATTTAAATATAGTGATTTAGAAGTCCTCTTTGTTTTTCATTTAACAGATGGGTCAAATTAAAACAAATACTTGCGCATTCCCAACATATTTCACTTTTAATGTGAAATGTAAATGACAGTATATAGCATGATGTCTTTGAACATCTAACAGCAATAAAAGCAATTTAGCATTTTCTTCTTCTAGTTCTTAAAAGTGGTAAGTTCTATAAAACGGAGATTAAATTCATAAATCTCCTGACGATAAGAAAAAGCTAAGTTGAAGAAGACACAAGAAGGAACTGATGCTTTTTTAGTGTCACGTTATTGTGTGGCACTCGAGAAAATTCATGGAAATAAATAGCAAATCTTGAAAGTGAAAGACTGCTTGCTACAGGTAGTATTGACGCTTGCAGGATGGGCTCCAGATGGGGTGACACCACGGCTGTGATGGAGGAGGAAGGTGACATGGGGCCAAGCGAGGAGAGCACCACTGTGCTCGGCAGGCTGAGCTCACATGGGGAAGAGCTTTTGTCCAAGGAAGGTGGCTGCAAGGTTCAAATCTTTCAGCTTAAAGCCCAGACAGTCTGATTGGGGATTTGAAGTCCTTGATGTAGAGATGTCAGTTGCTTCTGCTTCTGGCTACCTTGCTATGCTCATGGTGGAAAGGAGGGAGTGGCCCAACAGCTGCAATAATAACTCTATGCCTGGTGTTGGGCAGGGGGATACTTCTAGGGGCTGTTCAGCTCAAATTTTGGTAGATTTGCCCCAGTGAGGAATGAAAATTTGTCCCAGTATTTTGGAGAAAATCAGTTCTGTTTTTATAAATTATACTATGCAGCACTATTCCTTCCAACTTCCTTCCCACTGTTGCTGTTGTCTTCAAGAAAAACATGATAGCACATGTAAGTCTCTGCTTAATGCTCCGGCTCTTGAAATTAGGCATTTTGTGCTTTTGGATAGACTGGGGCATTCTTCCTGCAATCCCTGTGTGTGTGTTTTATTTAATCATCTTCTGAGTCATGTGGAAAAACTCCACTGCCTCCAGTGAGTCAGCCCATTCATATGAGCAGTGTAGATCACACTGGTTGACTCTGTGTGGGTTACCTATGTTTGTTGTTGTTAAAGCAGCTTTGCTAATGTTGGGACAGCAGATCTTTCTTCTAGTGAAGGTCTACATGGGTCTGTTTGAGTGTAGCTTGTCATGAATAGAACGGAAAATATAGCTGAACTTGATTTTTTGAGTCATTCATAGCAGCATTTGTTAATAAAAGTTTCTCCATGCCCAGCAGCAGAAACTGGATGGCTGTAGTGCTTACAAAAATACTTGGCTGATGGCACTGTGATGAAATGCAAGCTTTTAACAGTATTTAAAACCTCCTAATGCTCAACCCACCCTGCCAGGGATTGATTCAGTCTTTGTGGCTGCTTGATCTTGTCTTTCTCCTGTGGCTGTAAAGGGCAGGGCAGTAATCAGAGGGCTACCTAAATGGTCATGAGGTGCCACTGGTGACCTCTTGCTGCTCCAACACCTGAGCTGAGGCCCCTGCCACCGTAGCAGTGAGCTCTTAAGAAAGGGTGAGTTTGGAGACTTGTATGTATTATTATACATAACTGGGTTACAGCAAACAAAGAAGGAGAATGTAATGGAAGGATCCTGTAAAAGAGAGATCCAGCTATTGCAGTACCTGTAAATGTTACAAAAAGAAGGCATTTCATAGCTGAAACTATTTAAGTTAAAAATCTTTAGGAAATGTTAACAGGTGGCCTGCTCACTGGGAAAGGGGTGCAGTATGGGACAAGCCTCCGTGCAAGCTGCTGGTGGAGTGGGCCTTGGCACCAGTGGCTCCATGCCAGCAGTGCCTGCTCTCTGGCCGTGGCTACATCCTTCTTAATCTGGTCAATAATATAAAGGCACATCTATACAAAATCAGCTGTATGGTTTGCCATCAGACTAGATCTGACTGACCTGAACTTGTACTCTACAATGAAGTGAGTTTTGACTATCCCAGATGAAAAATGTATTGCTTCTAAAGCTTCTGTGATATTTCCCTTAGCAGCTTCAGTTTCGTGCTTCTGCTAAAAGCCTTAATTATTTTGTATAAAGCAACCTCAAGCCTACCACAGTAAATACATTGAAATAAAAAAGTCCTTTAGTGTTGCTACATCCTCTGCTTTTCTTTGTATACACTTGGAGTTTGCCCTTTGGAGCAATACTTTTCTGTTTGCACAGCAGAGGGGTCCCACTGCATGGGGTGCTAGGCACTCTGGGTGCTTTGCCATTTGCCAGCCGGCATCTGGGTAGCATTTTTCTGTCTCCTGACCATGGTGAAGCATCCATCCATCCTGAGCTCTTCCTCCCAGAAAAGAGAAGTATTGAAGTAATCTGGCTGCTATCAAAGTGTTGAGGTGGATGCATTAAACCACTGCTGTAGCTGCAGCAGTTGGCAAGAGCCAGAGCTGCAGCTGGACCCACCTAACTGGAGACTCTGCTGGTACCAGCCCAGCACCGTCAGCTCCCCCATGCTAAGTGGGGCCGATAATTCTCTCTGCTGTCTCTTTCCCATCACTGCAGAACTGCAGCTTTTTTGCTTTGGGACCTTCTGATGTAAGATGAATTTTACCTGCATTCCTGGACAGCAAATATCCTACAGCTTCTTTAATGAGCAGGGAAGGGAATTGCTTATCATAATCTATGGCAGTGCCTCCATCTGAGAAAGGTAGTCTGGTGGTGCATTTTTTTAAATTTTTCTTTGGTCTAACGCTTAAGTATGTCAAATACACTGAGTGTCAACCTGAAGACAGTAGCAGTGGTGGTTTCATGTGATGTGTTATGGTACAGGTAGCTTCAGGTCTGGTTTGTTTTATAGAGCAGTAGCAGCTAGAGGCTTTACTGAGACCCTGGTAAGTGCCGTAGAAGGAAAGACAGTCCCCGTCTCTAAATCCAAATAAAATGGGCAAAAGTGA